GTCCTGTAATTAGTCTAGTTTCTTACACACTTGATCCTTCTTTTTTTCTTTCTAATGTGGAATAAGATGCTATTTAATTTTGTTCTTCCATAGCTAATATTTTTTATATGTATGCTTTAATGATTTTTTCTTTACAATAAGTTTTGGACAATTTCATTTTTGTGTATCTTGATAGGATTTTATTCAAATTTCTTGTGCAAAAGGTTCATTTTCCTTGTAACTGCAATATTATATGTTGAGCTAAATTCAGAAATTTTAAATCTTTAAATATTTATTGCCTTCTCCTTTCTACTTTGAGAATTCTAGTTACATGAATATAAGTATCTTGGTTTTGACACAGTGAACTATTATGACTGATCTGTAAATTCTTTTCTATTTTGGACAATTTTTGTTATATTCATTTATGTCTGTAAATAATTTATTTTCAGTTTGCAATCTATTAAAAAGTTAAAATTAAAAAAAAATAGGATAGATATACAGCTACTGTCACTTAATTAAATGAGAAGAAAGAGGTGTACTAATAGTGTTTGGACAGGATATCCTGTCTGCTTCTTGTACTGTGGTTAACCACTAAGAAGATAACAATGTACAACGTATTGATTATCGAAACTATCCTATTAATCAGCTTTGAAACTGTCTCATTCATATTTGTTTCTCAATAAAATTAAAAAAAAAACATGCCCATTACAAAAGCTATTATAAACAAAAACAGTTTAGTGGACACTGGCAAAGATGTGGAAAAATGGAAACTGTACACCACTAGTAAGAACGTAAAAAGGGGCAGCTGCTATAGAAAATATTAAAATGTCTTCTCAAAAATTGAAAGGTAGGGCTATTGAGATAATTCAGCAGACTAAGTGCGTGCTTAGGCAAGTACAGGGACGAGGGTTCAATCCCCGGGACCACATAACGCGCTGGCTCCACCTCTGGGTGTGGTGATGCATACCTGTAATCCCAGAGCTGGGGAGGCTGAAAACAGGAGGATCACTATGAGTTCAAACTGTGTAGTGAGACCCTGTACCCTTTAAAAAAACTGAAATGCAAAATAACCACATGATCTAGCAGTTATACTTCTAGTTATATTTCTAGATTTGAGAGCAGAGTCCTAAACAGGTATTTGTATACCAATGTTCGTAACAGCCTCATTCATGATGGCTAAAAGGTGGGAACAACCCAAATATCCACTGATGGATGAACGTACAACCAAACATGGTATGTACACGCAATGGGGTTATATAGTGCTACACACTATGGGTCAACCTTAATGACATTACAGAGTCACAAAAGGATAAATATTGTATGATTCCATTTAGATGAGTAGTAAAGTAATAAAAATAAAAAATAAAACAGTGTTGCTGGGATAGGAAAGGAAAGAATAGAAATTTTTATTTTATTTTAGTTAGGGTTTTTTTTTTTTTTTTGAGATAAAAGTCTTGCTAAATTGGTCAGGCAGATCTCAAATTTCCTGCCTCAGCCACCTCAGCAGTTTGGATTATAGGCCTGTGCTACTGTACCTATTTTGTATTATTAACAGGTTCAGAGTTTCCACTCTAGAGATGGACTACAGTGACAGCTGCATAACAATGTCAATGTATTTAATGCCATTAAAACGCACATATGCTTTCAAGGTATTTTGTGCAATTATCATTCTCTGACGTGATAAATGGCAACACACACCTGACAGTTCTCAATGGTCTTGGCAAGTCTCTAGTCATACCTAGACAATTATTCTAAAAAGACAGTATATCTCAACTAGCCATTTTAAGATATATGCATATATAATGGCTCCCTTTTTATTATTCAACAGAAAATCTCCAACTACTGAATCAATTATGAAGCTTTTATGGGTTACTCCATAGAATAATTTCATAACTGGTAGTTGTGCAACTATTATTTAGATGATCTTTATTATGTAAAATGATTGGAATATTAGAAACAATTTTTTAAAAAAGAAACATAAAAATGCTGATGGACTGAAAAGGCAGGTGTCAAAACCAAAAAATGTGAGTGCAGGTCTAG